ACTGTGCCCATCTTTCTTTGGTCACCATGACTATTAATGTTTTTAGTATGACATTTTATTCCCCCTCCCCCTCCCACCAAATGCTTTTCCAAAACTGGGGTACAGAGATTCCAAAGCATAGGAAGTCTACCAAGATGCTGCTATTTCAAAAAGTAAAGAAATTCTGGGAAAATAGGGATCAAAAGACAAGCACTTTGGGCTTCATCATTTTCTAAAGCAGGAGCTTGGCAAACTATCTGTGGTGAGGAATCACTTTTTCTTTAACTTCTTTTTTTTTTTAATTTTTTAATGTTTATTTCTTTTTGAGAGCGAGAGAGGGAAAAAAAAAAAAGAGGAGAGGGGGCAGACAGAGAGGCAGACACAGAATCCAAAGCAGGCTCCAGGCACCAAGCTGTCAGCACAGAGCCCGATGCGGGACTCAAACTCACGAATCGCAAGATCATGACCTAAGCTGATGTCAGATGCTTAACCAACGGAGCCACCCAGGCGCCCCTCTTTAATTTTAACTACATTCAAAATACAAGCTATTGTACTGTTATAAGTTATTCCTAGATCCAACAGACATAAAATTACCCTGTGAACCGGCTGACAGAAGTTTCTAAATGCTTCCTCTCAAACCTCCACACCCATCACAGGCCGGGAACGGCCCCGCAGACCACACGCCTGGAGTTTCTCTGGCCAAAGGTATCGTTGCTTATTCAGAACTGGAATTCTTATTTTACAGACATTGTATCTAAATTGCAGTAAAGTCCACCCAACCTTTCCACATAGCTCCGGAAAGTAAATATATACAGAGAAAGGCTGAGATCACAAAGAAAAGTCGACGTCTACAACCCTCAACCAATTGCGATTCTGTTGCTTTTCTCCTTCTCAAACACAATGCAGGGCCCACTGGTACCTACTATGGTTTCGTAAACAAGGATCATGGTTCATGGTTATGGTGAAAAAAGTCGAATGTGTGTTGCCGCGCCCGTGTTGCACAGAGCAGCGACAAGGGCTCACCCGTGGCTAGGAATGAGGACGGGCTCCCTGCTTCCTGGCTGCGTAGCTCTGGGCCAGAAACTTAACCTGAGGCCACTCTTTTGTCCATAAATTGGGAAATGGTAGGATCCACCTCACAGGGGTTCTCAGAGGACAAGGGAGATTTTGCACTGTAGGAGCTTAGTACGGTGAGTGATGCTTATAGACTGTCCAGGAAATGCTTGTCACCCACCTCTTCAGGGGGGTCCCGGGGCCCCAGACTCAAGAGGGGCTGCATTTCTGGTACAAGGTTGTGCGGTGGGAGCGGGAACGTGATGAGCACAGGTGTGAAGTGTAGACACTAACCCCAGCCCCCAATCCCTATGCGGAGAGACATTCTTGCCTCCCATACGAAACCGTAACCACTGGACCATTTCCAATTTTGGCACCAGTGGCAGATCCAGAGTTCACCCCCACCAGAGGCCACCTGCACCATCGCCTTACTCAGCCGTACTTTATCTGCGGCAGAAAAACACTGAACACAGTCGGCAGTCTGAGATATTAAGCCGGGCTGGTTCAATGCAGACCTTTCCGGGATCCATAGAGGTGAGGCACATCCCTGCTACTGTCCCTTGACATTCTGGACCTTGAGCAAGTCACTCAGTCTTCTGCTTTAAGGTTCCCATCCTCGACAGGGAGGCAGTCTAGAGGCTGTCTCCCTCTTTGGGAGGTGTGAGTCCCAGCTGTCACTGAAGAGAATGACAGGGCAAACAGGGCAAAGGGCATGAGGGGAATATGCACGTGTGTGTGTGCATGTGTGTGTGCATGTGTGTGTGGATGAACACTATTCTCTTTCGCATGGTACATTTCTGGGCCCCCCCACCACTGTACACTGTAAACCCTTTAAACACAAACCGAGTCTTCTGAATGCCTTAAAACCATTAAGCTCCAAGTGCTATCAGCCTTCACCCCTGAGAAAGTAACAATAAGGACTTCGGCAGCCCTACAGATCCCTGCCAGCTCTCTGAGAGCTCTGGCCACAAGCTCTTGCAATCTGAAACCCGTCCAGTCTCTGTCGATCGCTAACATCATCTGCGGCCCCTGCCACCGACCTCAATGGGCCCATCCACTCTGGGTTCACCCCCGTGTTTCCATATGGACCCTGGGCTGTGCAAGCAGGTCTCAGAGCTGGCCGTCTTTACGGTCACTGGCTGTCTGTTTCCCTGGAACGTGCTTCCTTGCTTGGAAACGCTCCTCCGATTACCTGAAAGCCGGCCTCAAGCTCACCATTGGTCCGGCACTGGGGCCATCCCAGGCTACTCGTGCCCACATGCTTTTCCTACTCCAAAGCACTGCTGGGTTCCTTGTGGCAGGAAACACTTGTTCGCCCTAAACACTGACCATCAGGAGTCCTAACCTCCAATCTCTTCCGGCTTCCAATCCTGCTTCTGGGGCCTTCTGTGAGTGAGCTGTAAAAGTCTCTGGATGGAGTCTGAGCTGAGGCTTCTCACATTCAGAGTATTTTAGGCCAGGAAGGTGCACAGGAGGTCAACCCACCTCTGAGCAGCGAATGTTCTCTGCAGCATCAAGGCCAGACAGTCACCAAGGTAAGTTTGATCTCCCTTAGCGATGGGGACTTCACTCTCTCCCAGGGCAGTTTGAATCGTGTGCAAATTTTCCTTCATTCTGAGCTGGGAGAGCTGAGCCAGAGGGTTTCTGAGCTGAGCTCCCTCATCAGGTTTGATTCAGCCTTTGCCTACATACTTGGGTGTTTTATAAAGACAACCAAATCCCTCTTTTACACGATGGCCCCAGGAGACAGCCAAGGGCTGTCTTCTCCAGACTCAACCTGCCAGGACTTGGCTTCCTAGTTCCTCAATGCTTCTGTCACCCACCTCTGGACAAGCTCTCATAACCCACCTAGCTCCTGGGATCCTCTGTGCTTGTAGCATTTCAGTTCATTCTGTTCCACCTCTTCCTTCCCTCCCTGAATGGCATGGATGTGAAACCACCCCCACCCAAGCTGGTTTGCTCAATGGTCCCAGACAACACAGAAATTCACATACACACAGAACTAACAACAGTGCCCATGGCCGGGCGGCCAACACGCGCATACAGTGGACTCCCTTATCCGCGGTTTTGCTTTCTGTGGTTTCAGACACTCGCGGTCGACCGCAATCAGGAAGCACACGATCCTCCTAGGACCAGTCAGAGGTCAACAGTAGCCTAACACTAGTAGGCAACTCCAGTGTCACTCACCTCATGTCACTGGGCCACGGAGGGCATTTTATCATCTCACATCATGAAAGAAGGGTGAGTGCACAACAGTAAAGGAGAGACAGACCACACTCACCTCACTCTTCTACAGCGTATTGTGATACCTGTTCTATTTTATTATCAGTTATTGCAGGTAACCTCTTACTGTGCCTCATTTATTAACTGAACTTCCTCACGGGCAGGTCTGTATAAGAGAAAACAGAGCACATGTAGGGTTCGGCACTATCCAGTTTCAGGCATGCACTGGGGGTCCTGGAGCGTGTCCCCCGTGGGTAAGAAGACACTGCTGTGCTTCCTGTCACTTCCCAAACACTCAGGGAGGCCCAGCTCTTCACTGGACAATAAACACGGCACCGACGTACAATGAGAACCTCAGGGCCGGTGTTCTGACAAGCCCACGTGCAGCCTTTATTGTAGTTTTTTTCTTAACATTTATGTAGTTTTGAGAAAGGGAGAGACAAAGTGTGAGCAGGGGAGGGGCAGAGAGAGAGTGAGACAGAGAATCTGAAGCAGCTCCAGGCTCTGAGCTGTCAGCACAGAGCCCGACGCGGGGCTCAAACTCGCAAACTGAGATCATGACCTGAGCTGAAGTCGGACGCTTAACCGATGGAGCCCCTCAGGCACCTCCGTTCCTCCTCTGACTCGCTCCTGTCCTAATCACAGCCCCTTCCTCATGTTGGTGCCTTGGATGTAACCTTGCACAAGAATAGCAAGAAACACCACACGACACTCCTTCCTCCTGATGCTTTGGCTGAGTGCACACTGAATCACCGTTTATAAAGTACTTTATAATTTACAGTGGTCGCTCTTAACCTTCAGAGCAACCTCGAGATGCCATCCTCGTTTCACAGAGGAGGAAACTGAGGCCGACCCGGAGCTCGAACCTCAGGGGTCTTCTGATTTCAGATCTGCTGTCATGCGTTCTGCATCCCGCTCACCCAGGAGCTTGCGAATCTTAGGTAGAAGACGCTTTCTAAAGTTAAGTTCCAAGGGTCACATAATGAGTCACAGAGGAAACCAAAATAAATAAAAAAGCACAGGAATCTGGTTTTTATTTCTGGCTTTGCTATAAATTAACTCGTACGTTGACTCTCTGGGTCCTCAGTTTCCTCCTTCGTAAAATAAGGAGACTGAATTAGACGATCCTGAACGTGCCTTCTGCTCAGCTGTCTTTTGTCCCCTTCCCTGTCTCCACTCCGCCACTAAAATTAGGAAGAAAACATTGTTGAAATACCTTTCAGTGTTTGTTTCTTGTGTCTCCAAAGCCTCTAAGATTAGCTGGATGGTATAGGGTAACTATCCGTATTAAATAAAAAAGCCTGCCATCTCTTTAATAGTTAATTTCTAAGCAGTTCGTCTTCTGTGGCCAGCCTGCAAATCTGGAAACACCAGCCCCAGGGCTGTGCACACAAAAGCCCTCATCCCAGGAGGGCATCCTCAGAGCCACATATTCTTAGAGTGGTGGCTCTTGACACACGGCAAAGTCTGGAGACATTTTTGGTTGTCACAACTGGGGAAGGTTGTCACAACTGGGGAAGGCTGTCACAGGGACAGTGCTAAACACCCAATAATGCGCAGGACTGCCGCCCCCCACAGAGCTGTGGGGCCCAACCTGTGGGCAGTCGGAGGTTCAGAAAGCCCTGTCGGAAACAGTCAAGTCCAAGGGCGGCCCCCGACTCTTCCTGGTGTTTCAGCCAACGCGGCGCACGCGCGAGGCCAGGCAGGCTCATCCGAAAGAACCGAGGCTCTGGCACCTCTCTTACCTGGCGAAGAAGGACGCGGCCACCGAAGCGCCTGTGGAGGTCTCGCTGGCCACGCAGGATGCCTGTGAGGCGGGGACGCTGCAGGCCGAAGGCTTGTCCGCGTTGTAGCGATTCAGCGCTGCCTCGGTCAGGCCCTCCCGGCCCGTCTCTGTCATCAGCTGGGAAATCTGACAAAGAAAGCAGACACTGAGCTCGTTACCTGTGGCTCGCTGCACTTCCCGAGCACCGCTGGCAGCGCCCCTCTCTGCTGGGGCCCCAGCGCAGGTGGCAAGGGGGGCGCTGAGGGGGCCGGGGATGCACTGCGGCGCTCAGGGCTTCTCAGAGGCTATTTTCCAGCATTTTCTCCCAGACACCTCCTCATTTTCATTAAAAATAATGGAATAAAATTACCCCCCTGACACTGGAGTTTCAATTATGCCTGTGTTTCCTGTCCATTTGGAGAGCAAAGCGTGAGCCATTACCCACGGTTTGCGGCCCAAGACCAGAGCAGAAGCATCGACCACTGGCCCAGACGCTGACGGACAGGTGAGGCAAAGACACCATTTATTAAAGGAGAGGTGAGCTTGCTAACAAGGTGAGGAGTTCATTAAAACACCGCTGTGGTTGCTGTGAGCCAGTGAGCAAACAGGCCTAGGAGAAGCTGAGAGAAATAGATACGCCCCCATGGATTCCCAGGTGGTCTCTTTTTTGGAGGATTTCGATCATTTCAACAGACTTGATTTTCCTACTCATTCATTAAGATCAACGGCTTCCATTTTATTTGCAACGGTCCACTGCATGGGGCTGGGTCAGTCTTACCGAAATCTACAGGATACTCTAGGAAGAACCATACTTCGGGGCAAAATGAGAATATCATGTAGAAATATGCTTTCAAAGAGTGCTGATGCCACGACAAATGTGACAATTGTGTGGGCAAAGCCCAAGCGTGCTGTTTGGAAAGCCTGTTATGTTAAAACTTCAGTCCACTCACAAAAGGGGGAAAAATGTTAATTTAACAAAAGAAAAAGAAAGGAAAAAAGGAAGGAAAAGACAAAAGGAAAAGAAGAAAAAGAAAGGAAAGAAGGAAATAGAAGAAAAAGAAAAAAGAAAGGAAAGCAAAAGGAAGAAAAAGAAAGGAAAGAAATAGAAGAAAATGAAAAATAAGAAAGGAAAGAAAGCAAAAGGAAGGAAAGAGATGAAAGAAAAAGAAATGAAAGAAAAAGAAAAAAGAAAGAAAAGACAAGAAAGAAAGAGAAACTTTAGTTTTAAAAAAAAGAGTCTGCGGCCAGTTGAAGCCTCTTAAATGCTGAGTGGAAAATCTTTCTAATTGCCTAGAAAATACAAGTGCAATAAAGCAAAGGTCAGCAACCGTTTCCACTTTGTAACTGAGCAGGCCAATGGGCCCGTGAAAGCCGTGCCAATTGTTAACCTTTGAAGATAAAAACATTTGTACTTTTCATTATTAGCAGAACAGCCATTACTCTGAGCCCCATTGACTTGAAACTTTGCTTAAACTCATGCTCTTACTTGGAAAGCTTTGGCATTCGCAGCTGAAATTTTGCCAACACATACTTTCTTACTCTCATTCATTCAACGGGTTGTTAGGAAAGCTGACCCATGTAAGAGAAGCCCAGGAAGGAGGCAGCAGAAGTAGCCCATGGCCTGGAGCACATTCTGTGCACTCAGCAAAGGCCGCTGCCCATTGGGGGGGGGGGGGCTTCCGCTACTGTCTGTGGGGTGAGGGCTCCTCTCGACCAGCTGCCACCACTAAATAGCACACATGAATCTCCAGCGGTCCAGGACCTGTTCCCCAACCATGCCCGAAACTATACCCAGAACTCACAGCACCATTTTGTTTCATCGAGTAGCTACAATCTGCAACGCATAGGCTGGTTTTAGCAGGGAGTGAATGCATGGCCCGCTGTGTGACCACGTACGTCCGTGGGCTCACAAACGTGGCTGTCATCGGATCTTTGCCTGTGACGTTTCCTTTTCATTTCTGTATTTCTTATGTGAAGTTCGGAAGAACAAGAATGGGACTCTTCTGCCTCCCTGTGTGAGAACAGCCCTCACAGGTGCCCCACAGAGCCACAGAGAGGCCACCAGGATGTGGGTGCTGAATGGCGAGAGGCCTAACATAGAGAGGCACAGGCTTCTCGGTGGTCCAGGCTCTTGAGTCTGGCCCGGGATGAATGCAAGCATCCCGTGGGCTCATGGCTTTCAGAAATGGCATGAAGCAGATGAACTTCAATGCACTGCCTCCTTAAAAGACAGCTTGCGGGCTATCTTTGCCGGGCAAGACCGGATCTCTCTTTAAAAAATAAATAGGGGCGCCTGGGTGGCTTAGTCGGTTAAGCGTCCGACTTTCGTTTAGGTCATGATCTCGCAGTTCATGGGTTCGAGCCCCGCGTCAGGTTCTGTGCTGACTGCCAGCTCAGAGCCTGGAGCCTGTTTCAGTCTGTGACTCCCTCTCTCTCTGAGCCTCCCCTGCTCACGCTGTCTCTCTCTCTCTCCTAGAAATTAACTAAAAAAACATTTAAATAAATAAATAAAGTGGGGATGTATGGACATGGGACACTCCATTCCCAAGCCTGTAAGTAGAATTATTCAATAATCGATTGTTCTTAGAAATCAGAAACACAGGATGTCCCAGAGCGAGAAGGGACTGACGAGATCACCCTCTTCAAAGCTCCTTTACTTAGGAAGGAAAGCAGGAGCACAGAAGCGATTTGCCCAAGACAAGGGAAACTGAGCACAGGACCCTGATTCTCAGGCCAGTACTAGACTCTGTTTTGCTCCTATACCCCCTCCCCCCCTCCCTTCCTCCTAATTAAAAAAAAAATTAAACAGATAGAAAAAAACATCAAATAATAAGAAAACACATACCAGCAGATCCAGGAACATAATCAACAAATGTTAACATTTTACTTATCTTAGAAAATATTAGTTTATTTATTTATTTTGAGAGACAGAGAATGAGCACAACCAGAGAAGGGACAGAGAGAATCCCAAGCAGGCTCGGTGCTGTCAGCACAGAGCCCAACGTGGGGCTCGAACCCACGACTTGTGAGATCATGACCTGAGCTGAATTGAGTTGGACGTTTAACTGACTGAGCTACCCAGTCACCCCAGAAAATATTTTTTTAAAAGAAACCAAACGCAATATAAAATTGAAATTCCCCAGGCCCCTGGTCACACTGTCCTTCTTCCCAGCACCCCCTTTTCAGACACAGTGTGAGGACCTCGGTGGGGGCCAGTCCATGCCTTCCATCATACCCACTTCCCCCCGAAGAGCCTGGCTGAGCTCACTTTGTGCTTTCTTTTGAGCATTCTCTGGTTTTTGTCCTGCTTGTTCCCCAATAGGAAGAGGGTATCTCCCCAAATGTCTGCTCCTGGAGGCTCTCACCACCAGTAAAATCATGTTTTCACTGGTATTTACCCCCAACAGCCTCCACGGGGATTACAAACTTTCAGAAATAATATACAAATAGCTACAGTAACTCCCACTTTATCTCCCCCTAACTCTCTGCCCTATAGGGTTCTGGATTTCCTTAAGCTCCTCTAGCATACCCACGGCTCCCCCTGCCACAGGGTCTTTGCATATGCTGTCACTCCCCATCTGGAATGCTTCCATGTTTCGTTCAGATCCAAGCTCAAGAATTACCTCCTCAAAGAAGCCTTCTTCCAGACTCCTTCCAGCCTCTGGGGGATGTGGTTACAGAAGGATCATCTTTTCTTTCAGTGTCTTCACCTTTGTTCCGATTATGCATTTAACCATAGGTCACTGTTTCTCAAAACCCTAGGACAGTGGGACTGGGCTGTTGTGCCCATCACTGTTTCCATGGAGATCAACACAGTGCCTGGCCCACTGGCATATTTAAAACATGTTTATGGAGTAAATCTGAGTGATTCTGATTTTCTACTTATTCTCTACGTGTATCTAATTAAATCTTTTTTTCCTTAAGTCGTTTAAGTAAGAAGACTTAGTTCCTGACGATTTCATGGTTTTCCTATTTTGCTAGACTATTGGGATATGGCGGGATTTTCCTCCTTCCCCGTCAGCACCAAAGTGTCATGGTTTGGCTCCACTGTGTGCTAGTTTAGGGATGAAGAGCTGCCTCCTTTTGAGTCTGCAGATTCATTGCTCACTTCTTCATGGAAACAACCATGTACTTAGTACATGTAGCTACTGTGCTAGGCTTGCTTGCTTGCTTCCTTCCTTCCTTCCTTGTTGCCTAGAACCCACTGGCAATCAATATCTTGTACAAAGAGTCCATAAGACAGCTGGCCTAAAGCAACTTCTATTATCTCTGTTTAGCCAAATCTTTATCATTCTGGAAAACAGTGGAGCTAGACTTGTTCTAGTTCTTGTCCTTAATTTAATGATTAAAATCATATCCATTCTAAGGGCGCTGGGGTGGCTCAGTCAGTTGGGCATCTGACTTCTGCTCAGGTAATGATCACAGTTCGTGAGTTCGAGCCCCACGTCAGGCTCTGTGCTGACAGCTAGCTCGGAGCCTGGAGTCTGCTTCGGATTCTGTGTCTTCCTCTCTCTCTGCCCCTCCCCCACTCACACCCATGTCTCTCTCCCTCTCTCTCAAAAATGAATACACATTAAAAAATGTTTTTTTAATCAAAAAAATCATATCCAGTCTAGAGAAATCTGAGAGGGAGCCCCTTGTTAGATAAGCTATCATCTTTCACACACATGGTTTTGCGGGAGCTTTTCTTACCCAGGTTCTGTCATCCTTGGTACCAAGAATTTACTTTGCTTCAAGCCTGCAAACTACCCACAGGACAATACTCTAAGTTGTAACTGGATTGTTCCACTGAGGAAGAAACAAAACAATGAATGATGATGAAATTTGGCTACAAGAGACCTGTTCCCACTCAAATTCTGTCTGTGGCGCTCTGAAACAGTACTAGCAAGTCAGTGAATTGGTTACCCACTAAGCAGAGAAGGTAAAGACCCATATCTGTGATAATCACATCGTCAGTAATGGGATGCCCTGATATCCGTCTACCGTCTGGCGTTGATAAACCTCTTCTCCTACAAGCCTCACTGGAAACCATCACTAACTATTAGGTTAGGTAGACAGGTTGGCCATTACTCCCATTTCACAGATGAGAAAACAGACCCAGAGGAGTTGTTTACCTAACAGCCTGAGCACCAGGTAGATTCGGAGAA